TAGCCAAAAGTTGAACTACAAGGCACGTGATATTGATGTACTGAGCCAGAACTGAATACAAGTAAGAGGGTCAGAATTTACTCAAATTATGCTTCTGAGAGAGGCGTTAAACTTTTTATATTTTTTTATGATTTTTTTTAATGACTAAGAATAAACCTTTGCTTCTAAGTTCGATCCAAAATTTAAGGAAATATTATATCATGAAGACTAATATGTTAGCATACAATAACAATATAATACTGTACTATTTATAATGGTGATAATGATGATGGTAGCTCTTGCAAATTTACTAAATTCGTAATTCAGATGGTCTGAGTAATATTATTATTATGCGTATTAAATATGACATTATATTATAGCGAACAAATAGATATAAATGTCAAAACTTTAACATAAGTTTACATCTTTATTAATTTGATAAGGAATGCGAATGCGAATAAGAGCAATGTTATATATCTGTCTCTTATACACATCTAGATGTGTATAAGAGACAGCATCATTTTTTTTTTTTTCTAAATGAAAATATTTCAATGAAATTGTGTATACATTGGTGGCACCAGGATTTGTCCAAAGGGGTGAGGTTCGCTCTAAATATTTAGAAAGTGGCCAGAGGTGGGGTGAAGCTTAAAAAACCTTCCAATTTATGGGTTTTAAAAACTTACAAGCTTACTGTAGGCCTATATACAACCGGTAAATATTCCATTGTACAGTCTATAATACCACCTGTATTTCTCGACTTCTACAAAAATAATTTATAATGTAAGCCTACATGTAAAATGTATTAATATTTTTTTGTATTTCTTTTCGACGAAAAAGATAATGAAAAAGAGCATTATGACGTCATTTATGATTGTACTGTGCATACTGAAAGCGGTGATTAAGTCGGCATGTCTTGAGTCTGAATTAGGCTCTGGTTCAGGTTTAGGCCCTAGTTCAGACTTGAAAATCCGGTTTTCTGGAATGAATGACCAGCATTCGATTGGTTAGTACTTTTAGCTGATTACCTTTACTGTCTTAATGGCACAACAACATACACACACACACACCCACACACACACACACACACACACATATATATATATA